ATCCAATCTTGGATATTTCTTTATAGCAGTGTGAAAACACACTAATACACTCCACAATCACTGGGACAAGTAAAATCACTGCTAAATTTCCAAAAGAACCCCTGGAGGCAGTTCAATCCCAATAGATTCTTGATCTACAAATCCAGAGGCCTCTTTTCTTGTCATTGGCTACCTCTCTAGAGCATTTGACCTGTTGAGAAACTGCTCCTCATCTCTTCATCCTCTCTTGCATCCCATGTCACTACACCCCTGCAGTCTTCCTTTCCTCCTTAACCAATTCCTGCCTGGTATCATCATCTAATTTCTCACCTCACCCTGCCCACCCCTGCTGTCCTTCCTTTTTCCTCTCCACATGCTGTTCAACTTCCTCTCCTAAGTAATTGACTCTCAAAGTGCCATTTGTACATGAAAAACTGAAATCCACATTTCCAACTGCCACTTTGTCACTCACACAGAGAAAGGCTTAAGTTATGCATGTCCGAAATCAAACTGCAGGTCTACCTCGGGAACATTGTGGGTTCAGTTCCAGACCATCTCAATAAAGCAAATATCACAATAAAACAAGTCACAAACAAGATTTGGTTTCCCAGTACATATAAAGGTTATGTGTACACTATACTGTATTCTATTCAGTGTGCAATAGCATTCTATCTTTTAAAAACACTTACCTTAATTTAAAAAACACTTTATTGCTAAAAAAAAATGGTAATGATTTTAAAGCCTTCAGCAAGTCATAATCTGTTTGCTGGTGGAGGGTCTTGCTTCAATGTTGATGGCTGGTGAGTGATCAGGGTGGCAGATTGCTGATGGTTGGCATGGCTGTGGCAGTTTCTTAAGATAACAGTAAAGTTTGCCACATCAATTGACTCTTCCCTTAAAGAACGATTTCCCTGTGGCATGTGATGCTATTTAACAGCATTGTTTACCATAGTAAAACTTCTTTCAGAATTGGAGTCAATCCTCTAAAACCTTGATGTTGCTTTATCAGCTATGTTTAGACAGTATTCTAAATTCTTTGTTGTCATTTGAACAATGTTCTTAGCATATTCGCCAGGAATAGTTTCTATCTCAAGAAACCATTTTATTTGCTCAATCATTAGAAGCACCTCAAGTTTGATTATGAGATTGCAACAATTCAGTCATATCTTTAGCTTTCACTTCCAATTCTATTTCTCTTGCTATTTCTATCACATCTGCAGTGACTTCATCCATTGGAGTCTTGAATCCCTCAAAGTTATCCACGGGGCTTGGAATCAGTTTCTTTCAAACTCATATTAGTGTTATATTTTTACCTCCTCCCACGAATTATGAATGCACTTAATGGCATATAAAATGATAAATCTTTTCCAAAAGGCTTTTAATTACTTTGTCCAGCTCTATCAGAGGAATCACTATCTGTGGCAGCTATAGCCTTATAAAATGGATTTCTTAAATAATAGGAACTGAGAGGCAAATTTGCTGCTTAATCCACGGGCTGCAAAATGGATGTTGTACTAGCTGGCATGAAAACAACATTCATCTTCTTGTACATCTCCATCAGAGTTCTTGGCTGACTGAGCAGGTGCACTGTCAGTGAGCACTAATATTTTGAAAAAAATCTTTTTTTCTGAGTAGTAGTTCTCAATAGTAGGCTTAAAATATTCAGGAAACCATGATGTAAAGAGATAGGCTGTCACCTAGGCCTTTTTGTTTCATCTATAACGCACAAATAAAGTCAATTTAGCATAATTCTTGAGGGCCCTGGAATTTTCATAAGGGTAAATGAAAATTGGCTTAAACTTAAGGTCACTGGGTGCATTAGCCCCTAATAAGTCTGTCATTTGAAGCTCTGAAGTTAGGCTTTGACTTCTCTCTGGTTAGAGAAGTCTTAGATGGCATCTTCTTCCAACAGAAGGCTATTAAGTCTACATTGATAAACTGCTGTTTATTGCAGCTGCCTCCATCTATCTTTGCTAGATCTTCTGGATAACTTGTTACAGCTTCTCCATCAGTACTTGCTTCTTCACCTTGTACTGTTATGTAATGCTTCTTTTCTTAAACCTTGTGAACCAAATTCTGCTAGCTTCAAACTTTTCTACGGTTTCCTTACCTCTCTCAGCCTTTAGTTAGGGCCTTCCTCCAGACTAGGCTTTGGCTTAAAGGAATGTTGGGGCTGGTTTGATCCTCTATGCAGACCACTAAAATTTTCTGCATATCAGGAATAAGGCTGTTTCACTTTCTTATCATTCAGGTATGCACTAGGATAGCCCTTTTAATTTCCTTCAAGAACTTTTTGTTTGCATTCACAATTTGGCTAAGTGTTTGGCACAAGACGCCTAGCTTTTGGCCTATCCGGGTTTCTGACATGCCTTCCTCACTAAGTTTATCATTTCTAGCTTTGATTTGAAGTGAGAGAAGTATGACTTCCTTTCACTTGAACACTTAAGAGGCCACTGTAAGGATATCAATTGGCCAAATTTCAATATTGTTGTGTCTCAGGGATAGGGAGGCCCAGGAGATGGAGAGAGGCAGGGAACAGCTGGTAGACGGCGCAGTCAGAACACACACAACGTTTGTAGATTAATGGGCTTCGTCTGTGGCACCCTAAAACAACTGCAATCATAACATCAAAGATCAATGATCACAGATCACCATACCAGATACAAAAAAATGAAAAAGTTCAAAATATAACAAGAATGCCCCAAATGTGACAGGGACATGAAGTGAGCACATACTGCTGGAAAATTGCACCAACAGACTTGCTCAACACAGGATTGCCAAAAACCTTTAATTTGTGAAATAAACAAACCACACTGTCTATGAACTACAATAAAGCAAAGCACAATAAAATGAGGAAGACCAGTAGTTCTCTTCCTCCAAAACCTGTTATTCCATCAGTTGTATCTATTTATGAGAATGGCAACATCATCTACTTAATCTAGAAATAACAATGATTCGTTCTTCCTTTGGTACATCCCATTGATTGCACTGTCTGTCATTTTCTCTATCTCATGGCAACATAGTTGCCTTTCTGTCAATGTAGTTCAAGCTATCCTTGTCAGTAGCTTAAAGTATTGTCACAGCCTCCTAATTGGTACTTCCACTGCAATTTATTTTTTGATACTTACACAAAAGGAATTTCTGCAGATAATAATAGTAGCTAACATTAATTGCCTATCATATGCCCGGAACTATACTATGTGCTTCCTGTCTCTTTTAATATGCACAGCCACATCATAAAGTCAGAACTTTTTTTTTTAACTTTACAGATGAGGCAAAAGAGGTTTGGGGAGATTAAAGAATTTACCTAAGTTCACAGAGGTAGCTCAGAAATTACAACACCAGGAATCCAAGGTCTTTGGCTTCTAAAAACCCTGTTTGTTTTTGCTTTCTTTGCTTCTAACCTGTTTGCAATCTTCAATGTCTATTCCTATCCCATCTGCCTTTCCCTTCTCCTTCCATTCTTCCAACCCATGAGTCCTTCTTTTGGTTTTACTTATTTCCTTAAAGATTTACTTGTTAGCCATTTCAAGGAAGTCCTTCACTGCAGGCTCCTCTTCTTCCACCATGTCCACATCTGTCCCTAGCCCTCTTTCTCTCCAGTCTCTCTTCCCAGCTGCTAAGAGAGGCTGGAAAAAGAAATGAATACACAGGATAGCTCCAACCTCTGCAGATGCAGATACACAAAACTCCCTGCATCTTTAGCTTTTCTCTCTCAGGGTTGCTTTACGGTTCTTATATAATGAACCAATCAAGTACAAAGTGCCTTGTAAAGAGAGCTATAAAGCACCCTGCACATGTAAGGTGCAACTAACTATTCACCCTCCTTTTACATGCTCAGGCCTTCAACTGAGTTACTCTGTGAGCAAGAATATTCTGTGTGCATCCAAGCAGAGAATGGCACATGTGTGTTCAAGGTGAAGGGAGAATAGAGCCCTAAGTAATATTGATGTTGGCCAGGAAAATCTCTACTTAACATTACTGCCAGAGTCCAGCTTAAAACTTCATTGAGGTTGTCATAAACGAGTAAGACAGGAAGAAAATAGTATTATCTCACTTAAAAAATCTCTCAATGAGGGTTCCCCTCCCCCCAGCACCTCGAAGTTTTAAGTTTTTGCAAACATCCTCCCTTGCATTCACCAGGTCCTGCCCAGGTTCCTGTCCCTTCTAGTACTGGCCGTCCCTCTTCCCGGGGGCTTCCGCCGCTCCGACCCCCGCCGACCCGGGGTGGACTACAACTCCCGGCGTGCCGCGCGCGTCCGGCCGGCTGCTCCGGGGCTTTGCGCGTGGCGGCCACCGAGCTCCGCGCGGGGCAAACCTCCCGGCGCGGCCATGCGGGGAGGTAAGTGATCCGCTTGTGCGGCCAGGGCTTGGGAAGGCGTCCGTCCTCTCCTCTCTCCAGGATGAAAAAAACAAACGAAGAATGCCGCAATGGAAACCGCCCTGCCCTCCCTCATCTCGGCCGTGTGTCCAGTGCTCCTGCACCTCCTGCACCCACGGGCGTGGGCTCTCACCCTGGCGTGAAACTGGGGGCAGAAGCAAGCCCTGCCCCACGGAGAGCCGGGGCTCGCCTGGGGCTGCCGGCAGGGCTCGGGGAGCTGCACGGGGTGGTGGCACGACTGGGCCGGGTGCCCCGCAAGCGCCACACCTCCACACTCCACTTTCCAAAGACCGGCTTCCCCGGGAGCCCCCACACTAAGCGCCGGCGAACCGTCTCTCCGTGAAAGTCTTAGCCAGAAACTTTCCCCGCTCTGTCGCCAGTGCCACAGAGAGTCGTGTGGCTCTCGGCCCGCGCGGCTGGTCCCAGAGGCAGCCCAGCGTCTTCAGTCCCCACCGTCCCATCTCCAGGCCAGTTCTCACTTGTCCCTGAGACGCCATTCCCGGCGCGGTGAGGTCGGCTCTGCCCTCGGGCAGCTTCAGGCTGGACGCGCCTGGGGTCGGATCCCGGGAGGCCAGGACTGGCGGCTCCTTTGGGACTCCCTAGGCGAGTCCTTTTTGCCTGGGGAATGAAAGCTGATCTAGAAAAGAAGCCAATCAAAGTCAACAGCTTCCAGCCCTTCCAGACCGCCTCCCCTCCCGCTACCTGAGCTCATTCCCAAGTGGGTCTAAAGTTCGGCTCCAGAATCTTGACACCAAAGTTATTTCAGCATGTAATTTGGAGATTTCAGGATCTCCAAAGTTATCTCAGCATATCCCATAATGTGCTGGATCAGAAGGTCTTGTTTGGTTGCCTCTCTCTCCCCCAAACCCCACACACCGCACACACACACACCCCACATACCTACCACACCCACACACAAAGTACACCACATAGTGCACACATCACACACATTACACACCATACTTTGTGCTACACACTACACACATGTCTTTTTTATCAGCACAGGATTGATGTCAAACAGTTTGTTGGAGGGAGTGTGTGAGTACTAGTGTGTGTATATATATATTTATATTCACAAGTGACAGTTTACTACCAAAGTTAGAAACTAGCTGGTAAGTGAAACCTCCTGTTGTCATAATTTAGAGTGTCTTTGTGGTTTACTTTTTATAAAACGGGATAAACTTCCTACAACATCTTCTGAAACTTTACTCTTGTGTCACAGGCAAACTTTTGATCACAGCAGGCCCGATGGGAGGGGATGTCCCTTTGTATATGTAGGAAGAGATGCTTGGAAAAACTTCAGAGAATCCTTTCTCCTGTGGCCGTGTCTAAGGAAGAGCTGGGTGTAGCTACAGTTTCTTTGCTTTTTCCGCTTCAAGAGTGGAGAGCTGAATATGCTTTTGTTCTGAGCAGCAGTGTCAGGACAACCCCCCGCTCCCCTGCACACAGAACTCCCAGTCCAGCCTCCTTCCAATTTGGCTTTACTAGGAGAATATATTGTTCAGGAAATTCAGATCAAGTCCAAAAGCATTATGGAATCTGTTGGTGAAAGAGCTCTTTATCTCTATAAGAGTCCATCATTTGAGATCAGCACTGGTGAAAAATCCACATGCCTGATCCATGCTCAGAAGATAGCACTCAAAAATATTTAAACATTTACAATTGGTTCCTAGATTACTATTGTTTGTTTGCCTTTTCAAGGGAGCAATGGCAAATATTTGAACTCTTTCTAGGCAGTGATCTTCAAGGAAGTCGAAAATTTCTAATATCATTCCTGGATTAAGGACAAATTTTTGACCTTGAAATTCAGGTTCCAAATTTAAATCAAAGTTGATCTCCTAGTGTCTTTAAAAATTATTTTTAAAAAGGAGGCAGGCAGTTTTCTCCTCGGATTCTACCCAAATTCTACCGGGTATTACAGCAACAGATAACTTTTTCCAGGGACTTTCTGGGGAACCTGTGTTCTCTGCCGTATCTTGAGTGGTTTTGTTGACCATCTTGACCTAAAAGTGTCCAAATGAAGAGCCAACCATGTATGTTTCCTGTGTATGTGCAGAACATTTATGGAATGAGTCTGTTCCCCTGGAGAAGTGGTTTAAGCCAAGCAAGGGAACTGTGAGAATGACCAGTATAACTTAAACAAAAGATCTTGCCCAGCCTCTCTGCTCCACTTCCCAGTTTTCTGATTTGGTATTTAGAATGATGGCAGGAGAGACTGAATTTTGGGGTGGGTATAATATCTTTCTATTCATATGTAACTAATATAGTACCAGGTACTCATAGATTGTAAGTGATGGTTGAATTTCTCGAATTATGTTTTTTTTTGCAACTAGGATAAACAGTTAAAGTTAAACCTCCCAGAACTAATTGTTTTTGTTTTGTAGAATAAGGTTTTATTTGTTTCAGTTTGAATTTTGCTGGTTTCATTTGGCAGGATAAATGCCAAAATAAAAGAATGTGGGCATATTCAGGAGATCTGGTCATCTATTTTGCATCCTCTCTGAAATATGTTACTTCCTGCATAATGAAGTAAAAGGATTTGCTGCTGAGCAGTGCTTTCCTCATTCTCACAAAGGGATTACTTAAAAGCCAGCCCTGGGAACTTTGTCCAGGAATCTCTATTGGGAAAAAAAGAGTAAAACAGGGACTGCAGCTTCTGAGTGTTCTCTATTATAGCCCATAAGCACTGGATTCTCACTCTAACTTTTCCCTAAGGGGAGAAAAAGAAATAGTTTGAAACATGACATTCATGCTCAGAACAACAGCTAAGACCTATCATGCAGCAACAATGAAGGGGAGGGAGAAAATAAGAAGCTATTGAGACAGCTTGTTTTTCTTTGTTACAAGACAGGTGCAGGGAGAATTCTGCAGGTTTTGGACTCCTGATTCATTCACTTGCACTAATTGTGCTGAAGGTAGTTAGCAAAAGTGAACAGGCACACTGTAGCTTTAAAAAGTCAGCCATGAACCAGAAGGCAGTTGGTGCAGCTTGTGTGTGATTCCTAACGTCATGTTGGCTGAGAGCCAGCCTGGTTTTATTTCACTGTGTCAAATTGTACCTCCTTATTGAATTCCTTTGCCAGCCTACTTTGTGAAAGAAAACATTGGGGTTTCTTTGGCTGTTCTTGATAAGCCTATAAAAAATGATATTTTTTAGTTGCTTATAGGTAGGTTTTCTTTTTACTCTTCCACAAAAAAAGAAAAAAATAGTAATAATAATAAGACAATGTAGTGTGATGTTGCAGAGTATCATTGTGTTTTGTTTTGTTTTGTTTTTTCTGAGATGCTTAGAAAATGGTGAATGTGTAACAGTTTCCAACTGAAGTGAAATCATATTCTGTTAGCGTGGAGCAGCAGCACTACCTTCCTGTGTACTCTGTAACGGTGTGTGAATGTATGCTAATATCTATATGTATATTAAATGTTGAATTTCTCTATCAATGATCTAAGTGGTTTAGCAACTGGAAGTTTGTGTGTATGTGTAATTTCAGGAGTGAAGATTATCCCACACTTACAGTTTTATTTGTTAATCATCTACTTCTCTCACAGTGATAAAATCTTGCGAATATACTAAATGATGCACTTGCCATGTAAGAGTAATCCCTAGAGAAGGAGTGCCGAAGTATAAAGTGATTTAAGTGGAAATGTATTTAATTTATGGCTTCAGCTGAATAAGAGCAAACACGTTTTGAGACTGTTTCTTCCTTTTTCTTTTTTTCTTAAAGCAGTTTTGTTCGTAGCTTTTTCATTTTGCTAATTGCATATTAATTGAGGAAGGTTTTTAATTTTTCACAGCCCTCATCCTACTAAACAAAAAGAGTGATGGATGCTACAATATCTCCTTAAATGTTTTGATGATTTTTCATACATCTAATGAGCTACCTACTCTTTCTGACACACACACACACACACACACACACACACACACACACATACATACACACACACACACACACACACACACCAGCACCACCTTTCTGTGCTAAGGGCTATCTGGCATTTTTTGTGAGCTTCCTGCTTTACCACAGCATGGCCATCTCACAGACGGGTTTTTGAGGCTTTCGTTGAGAATGTGAGGTAGGGGCATACTTGCTGACAAAAGCTTTAAGTGTCCTTCTGCATTGCAATGAAACAATCTAGGAGCAAGGGGGAGTGGACAAAAAAACAAATGCAATAAGAAAAAACAAATCACAGCCCACAATGGGAGGAGGGTAGGAAAAGGGGGATTGTTTTTCTCTACTTTGACTCATTTATGAGTTGCAGTGTCTTAAGTGAGAGCTAGGCACCCAGAAGAAGCTGTGCCAGTTCACACAGCACTTGTTTTGAACGAGGATTCAATTTCATTTGCAAATGCTTATTGTCAAGGCAGGGAGTGCCAGTACAGATGAAAGCACCCCAGTCTGTCTCCAGTTCTTTAGGTTTAATCACATCTCTCCAATCGCCGAGGGAACTGGAGATTTAAACAAACAGACGTGAACTGGTGTGAAGCTGTAAAAGGGACCATTATGTTTCCGATTCAGAATATATATTCTTCTCTCACTTTCTAACAATTAAACACAAGCTTTTCTCCCTTATTGATTAGTTGCTGAAGTAAAGGAACCCTGCAGCCTTCCCATGCTATCTGTTGACATGGAAAACAAGGAAAATGGCTCTGTCGGTGTAAAAAAGTAAGTGAAGCTGGCTTCTGAGTTCTGCTTCTGCAAACAACAGAGGGACTTGGTTTCTATTTTCGTACTTCTTGCTTATCTGCTACAATACACAGTTTGGGGGTCGCCTTGGTTTGTCTACACTGGCCACCATTCTCCCTTCTCCCCCTACCCCAGTTACCTTTTTCTGTATTCCATTTCTAAGACAGAGATGACTCAGACATCAAAATATATATAAAAGGGTTGTGTATTAGGCTTTGGAACAAGGGTGGTTGAGGATTTCAGTCCTGCATTCTGTATATTGAAACAAAACCTCCAAGCAGAGACTCTTCCATAGACAACACAGAATGGGGGCAGAAAATAGAGTTCGAGTTTTTTTCTGAAATACAATCACCTCTAACTGAAAACTAAGAGCTATAGTGAAGGAAGGGAAAAAGCTTCAGTAAGGATACTAGTTTAACAACTTCTCTGTCCTAATTTTATGAACTGTTTAATGAATGTGAAACATTTCAGTGCATACATGGTGTTTATTTTAATGTCTTTTCTCACATTTGAAACTTGTGTTTATGTGTTGTGTAAGAGTTATATACTTGATTCTTTTAAAAAGGAAAATTCAATTGCATTATGTAACATATTTTGATATTTATGAGTATATAAAAATGTATATTCTCAGGAGTTATAGCAAAGCAATAACTACTTTGATTACAAGGAGAAAGTAAGTTCCAAGAGGGAGTTATCTGTTTCATTTCTTTCCATATCATTTAGTTTAAAGTTGCCATCAACTTGAGCTTTGGAGGAAACTAATTAAATATAATCCATAGAAGCTGTGATATCTAAATGAGGAAACAGTGTGCTATATGTTTATGAATAGAAGGTATATTTTGCTTCACAGCAAAGTTACATTAAAACTAACTTAATAAAATCTGTTTTTTAAAGTTCTTGGGTAATTTATATATCAGCGCCATACTGCAATGCTTATTACCATCCCTGAAGTTTGGGATAGGTAGGTGGAGGAGAAGTGAAAGAAACAGATGCTGTTTTAAGCATGAGTTAGATCAGTGTTATTCAACAGTACTTTCAACAGTGATGGAAATGTTCTGTATTTTGGCTGTCTAAAATGGTAGCCACTAGCCACATGTGGCTAAGAACATGAAATGTGACTAGTATAAGTGAGAAACTGAACTTTTAATTCTACTTAATTGTAATCAGTTTTAAAATTAACAGCTTTGCTGAAGTATAATCTTTGCATAATAAACTGCATGTGTGTAAAGTATAAAATATGGTAAGTATTGATATTTTTGTCCCCTCTTGAAACTACTACCACAATTAAGATAATGAACATTTCCATCACTTCCAAAATTACCTTACGACCTTTTGTAATCTCTCTCTCCTCTCCTTTTCTGCCACTGTATCTGCTGGCAACCACTGTTATGCTGTCATTATAAATTATTTTGCTTTTAATAGAATTTTATATTAATGAATGTGTATACACACATACTTACTTTCTGTCACTCAGCATAAATTTGGGATTTATCCACATTATTGTGTATATCAATACCTCATTACTTTTTATTACTGAGTAATATTTCATAGTTTGGATCTACAACAATTTGTTTACTATCATTCAAATAATGATAGACATTTGGATTGTTTCTATTTCTTAGGTATTATAAATAAAGCTGCTTTGATCATTTTTGTACAGGTCTCCGTGTGGACATATGCTTTCATTCTCATTCATAATTACTTAGGAATGGAATTGGCTGGGCTCTATGGTGGATGTCTGTTTAACTTTTTAAGAAACTGCCAAACTATTTTCTGAACTGGTTGTCCCATTTTCACTCTCACCAGCATTGTGTGAAGTGTTCCAGTTGCTCCACATCCTCATGAGCTTAGTGTGATCATTTTCATATTAGACATTATATCAGGTGTTTTATGTTTTAATTTTAATTTCCCTCATGACTAATGATGTTGAGCATCTTTTCCTGTGCTTATTTGCCATTCATGTATCTTCCTAGATGAACTGTTAAGTCTTTTGCTCATAGTTTTATTGGGTGAGTTTTTTTCATATTTATTGTATAGAGGGTTTTTATATATTATGAATATGTCCTTTATCATATATATTATTAGAAAATATTTTCTTTGAGTGTGTGACCTGTCCTTTCATTCTCTCCATAGTATCTTTCAAAGTACGAAAGTTTTTAAATTTTAATGAGTCTAGTTTAATCCATTTTTTTTCTTTTATGAATAGTGCTTTTGGTGTCATATTTAAGAATCACTGGCCTAATGCAAGGCTACAATTATTTTCTCCTATGTTTTCTTTTAGAAGTTTTATAGTTTTAGGTTTCAGGGTTTAGGACTATGATTTTTGAGTTAATTTTCGTTTATGGTGTGAGATAAGGGTTTGAAGAGTTGAAGTGCTTTGTGTGGTGGTGGTAGTGGTGCTGGATTTTTGCTTATGGATATCCAATCTTTCCACCTCTGTTCAAACACTTCTGCAACTTTGTTGAAAAATAATTGATCATATATGTATGGGTTTATTTCTGGACTCTCTATTCTATTCCATTGATCTTTTTGCATATATTTATGCCAATACAACATTGTTTAGGTAAATATAACTTGAAATCAGGTAGTGTTAGCCATCTAACTTTGTTCTTTTTCAAGGTTGTTTTGCCTCTGTACATGAATTTTAGAATTAGCTTGTCAGTTTCCACCAAATTCTTTTTTAAAACCTGTTGACATTTTGATTGGCATTACATTGAACTATATATCAGTTTGGAGACAGTTAGCATTTTAACAATATTGTGTCTTCCAACAAATGAACACAGTATTTTTCTCTATGTGCTTAGGTCTTTAATTTCTCTCAGCAATGATGTGCAGTTTTCACTATGCAGATCTTGCACCTTTTTGCCAGATGCATCCCTAATATTTCATGTTTTTGATGCTATTTTAAGTGATATTGATATTTTAATTTGAATTTTCAATTTTCTTATTATATATAAATACAATTGATTTTTTTATCGATCTTATATGCCACAACCTTGCTAAACTCACTTATTACTTCCAGTAGCTTTTTAGTAGATTACACCATATTTTGTAACATAGACAATTACATCTTGTAAATAAAGACAGTTTTACTTCTTCCTTCCCAATCTGAATGCCTTGTATTTCTTTATTCTTCATTACTCTGAGAAGAACCTCCAGTGAAAAGTTGGAAAAAGTGGTGAGCTGGGTGCTGGGAGGCCAAAGTGGGCAGATCACTTAAGATTAGGAGTTTGAGACCAGCCTGGCCAACATGTGAAAACCCCATCTCTACTAAACACACACACACCCACACACACACACACACACACACACACACACACACAAAAGAGAGAGAGAGAAATTAGCCAGGTGTGGTGGTGCGTGCCTATAATCCCAGGTACTCAGGAGGCTGAGGCAGGAGAACCCCGTGAACTGGGGAGGCAGAGGTTGAAGTGAGTCAAGATTGTGCCACTGCACTCCAGCCTGGGTGACAGCGCGAGACTCTGTCTCAAAATAATAATGATAATAATAATAATAAAATAAGAAAAAATAAAGAAAAAAGTGAAAACAGGCATCCCTTTGTTTCTCATCTAAGTCTTTTTCATATCTATGTTCTTCTGTATGTATGTGTCTTTTTTTCTGTATGCTTTTATGATATTTTCTTTTTCATTGGTGTCTTAAGCAATTTGGTTATGAGACTTGGTGTGGTTTCCTTCATGTTTCTTATGCTTTGTGTTTGTTTCGTTTCTTGGATCTGTGCATGGGCCTAGTTTTCATCAAGTTTTGAAAATTGTCAACCATTAGTTTTCAAATATTTTTGGTCTCTCCCTTTTTCTTTGGGGACTCCAGTTTTAGGTGGATTTGCCCACTTGAAATTGTCCCATAATTCATTGATGATCAGTTCATTTTTTTAAAAGCCATTTTCTCTGTGTTTCATTTTTGATAGCTTCTATTGCTTTGCATTCGTGTTCACTAATCATTTCTTCTAAAATGTCAAATTGTCAATTCCACCAATGCATTTTTCATTTCAGACAATGTAGTTTTCATCTCTCTCTTTTTTAAATTGTTTTAGTCAGAAGAGTAAATATGTCCCCCATTACTCCATCTTGATTAGAGGTAGAAGTTCCATTTAATTTATATAGCCACAGGTTACTAGTGGCTAACACTGAATAGGGCAGAGTTAGATTATAATGCAGACTCCAGAAAGAGATAAAACATAGAGTCTTAAGGCTATATTGTGGAGGGGGCTGCCATATACATTGTAAGATGTTTGTCAGCATCCCCAGCTTCTACCAACTAGATGCCAGTAGTACGCCTCTCCAGCCTTGACAATCAAAAATGTCTCCAGACATTGCCAAATGTTCCCTGAGGGGAAAAATTTCCCTCAGTTTAGAACCATAGGCTAACCCCCACCTGAGTAATGTGTGACAGGGTGGCTTCTAGGCATCAGAAACCGCTTACATATTTGTACTGGTTATTTCTGCTTGAAACTCTTAAAAGATCATGGAGTTTTAAATATTCCAATTTGAAGCTTCTGCTTTCTTTCTTTACATATCATAGAAGAGAAGGACAGAGAAGAAGAGAGGTAAAATATTAACATTTTGGAGAATCTGGGCAAAACGCATATGGGATTTTTATACTATTCTTACAACTTTTCTGTAAGTCTGAAATTTTTTTAATTAAAAAAAGAAAAGCTGTTTTATTAGTTGAGAAATAAAATTTTTCTTCCTTTAGGAAAGAAGCAACACTCCTAGCCCAAATTGGAGACCAGGGGGAATTAAGGCATTGCAATGGCAAGTCTCAAGTTTAGAACACTTGGATTTTACCTTGCTTTTGTTTCTTAAATAGTAGAATAATATTCAATAAATAAATCACTGATTTCTCTCTGCCTCAGTTCTCTTGAATGTAAAATAAAAATAGACAGTTGTGAGGATCAAAAGGAAGTAGTTATGAATTATAGAGTGACACAGCAGTGATAAACTTTATATATTGCAGCCTTT